TTACGGTAGGTAAAGGCTGATCCACAAGCTGTGATTGTGATAGATCAGGCTCTCTGCCCTTTGATCCTTGCCTGTTGAACTATCATTGTAGATAAAATTAGGAGAGGTGAGTTGCATCTTCCCCCGATCTGGCTTCATCAGCTAAGTTTAAGGTCAGCATTTAAATCCAGGATTAAATCATGGTTTGTACGTGATTTATTAGCAATCAATTGAGGAGGAGTCGCCATCATTCTCCTCTTTACTTACTGGTTTGAATATAATCTGAAAGGAAGAGGAAAGTATCATGAGTTATTAGCTAATTAAGGGTATTTATCCACTTTTCAGATCCATCCATCCCATTTTTAATTATAAATTATTTCAAAGGATCAGTTTCCCATTGGCACAGGGACCAGATTTTAATTTCTTATTATTTATCGTGCAAATGCATTTGCCATACTTCACTGCTGGAAGTACAGTAGAATTTCTGGTATTTAAAACCAAGCACTTGCCAAGATTTCAAAGGGGCCAATAGCTCTAAAGTGGCTGCATAACATTACATAAATCAGTGTCATTTCCATTTCATTTCAGCACAGAGGTTAATATATACGCCCAGTGATATAATTAAAAATCAGAAAAATTAACATTCTGATTTTCATATGAAAGTCGCAACTTTGAAAGGAAGATCCTTGGCGTTTGATTGTTTCATTACACTTTAATAATTAACGCACCAATTTGTTTGGAAATAAATGATCACAGACATCACAGTATAAACCAACCTTGAGTTGATATTAGTTCATAGTACAACATTTACTCTTCCCCATGGACAGATGCAGTAGGTACTTTTAATCATCCATTAATACCATTAATCTGCATTATACAATTTGATTATTCAGCTCTGTCAAGTAGGATATTTTTCAGAAATAATTAACCCCAAATATTGAACAGAATCAGAACACTTGTAAATTTAATATTATTTCCTAATGCTCAGATTCTTGGATTGTTGAAATATCTACCAATAATTAGATACTTTGAGCAGCAAGACGTACATTCATAAAACCAGATGCTTTAACAAAGTCATCCTGCTTGTGTTTGAGAGCTATCGAGAAGACACTTGTGGTTGGGGTGAGGAGTCGGTGCAGGGGTGACATTCAATTTTTTCCCTACAGGTTACTTGGGGGTGGTGGGGGGGGGGGTCCTGCGA